ACCTGAAGCTAAATCTGACTATGTAGTTGTTACTGGTTTCACCTCCTTGGTGAAGGAATTATTACAAATCTTCCCTGCTCCCCAGTTTCCCCCCTAAAACCCTAAAATGACCACATCCCAGCGCTGCCCATTCAGCTCCCATGCGGAGCAAAATCAGAGAGCGGGAAGAAACAGAAGACCCAAGAGATGAAGTAGAAAGGATGAACAAGGTGAAAGTATTCGGGTCCCTTTACCACATGAATAGCTTCGAAAGAGTAAAAGAGTATGCTGGACCCTCAAATAGCCAAGCTAGGACAAGGTGCATGGAGTGGGAGGGGAGCTCTCCTGCAGGAAAGATTCTAAGGTTGTGAATGCTGAAGTAGTGCTGTGTTACAACTTAAGTGTCTTGCAAACACTTTGAGAGACACCAGCAACAATGAGAAAGTCCTTACACACACACACACACACACACACATTAGCCCATGATACATGACACAGAGGATGATACATATTTTTGTTACAACTCCTGAAAGTAGAGATGAATGAAACTGTTGAAAAACTACTAAAAGTCAGATATCCCTCTCATTTAAACTTCACAACTGCCTTTGAAACAAGTATGTTTACCCCCCTTTTAGTATTTTTTAGATTTATTTATTTATTTGAGGGCTTTGGGGCAGAGGGAAAGAGAGCATCTCAAGCAGATTCCCCGCTGTGCGCAGAGCCGAAAGTCGCAGGGCTCCATCTCACGACCCTGAGATCAGGACCTGAGCTGAAATCAAGAGTCAGACACTTAACTGACTGAGCCACTCAGGTGCCCCCACCCCACTTCCAGATATGACCGCTGCCTGAGACTTGGAGAGATTATGTGAATTGCTCACCTTCGTTAAACAAGCAAGGAGTGGAGCCTGAGCTCTCCTGGGTCTGCTGCTAGGAGCTGGGAACCAGAAGCTGCTAATGAATGAGAGAGACATGGCCCAAAATTGTGGCCAAAGGAAGTGTCTCGGGAACTTCCCTGCTGAGTCCGTCTGCACTGGGGGAACCTCTGGATCTGTGCTCCATTGTCAAACTCTGGGCTTTCCTGAGACTCTCTTAGCATGAAAAGCATTGGGATCCCAGCACAGAAGCAGTTGGGTCTATTTGTTCGGTCATAAACTACAGCCCACCGAAGCCCGTTTCTTCATCTTCTCATCTGTACTAGTGCTAGAAGCCAGCACACATGGAAGAACTGCATTTTATGGTTTTCTCCAGAGACCTTTTTATTCTTCCTTCTCTCTACTCCTCTAACACTTTCCTTTGTTTCTACCTGCCCCTCCTGGTCCTTTATCTACTACCAAAATTTCCAGACATTTCCTCCCACTGATCTCAACCTGCTAGAAATATAATCAAGTATTTTCTTTCGCAAAACTTGCTAATGATGAGTTCTTTATTGTATTACCTAGGATAGGCGTTTGATTCTCATGGCCCTTTCTCACTCTGGCCCCCTGGGTTGTTGCAAAATTTTTACAGCTATAAATAGCTCAGACTATAAATCTTAATTGCAAGTTGTACTGATCTCATATTGTGTTTATTTTGACAACAGAGACATTACAGCAGAGAAATAAAGAAAAATTTGTTAGCTAGAGGGACACCAACAAAGAATTCTGTTTAGTGTATGATGTCGCAGAGGAAGTGGGCACAATCTTCTTATTTCCTCACTATTTGTAGGTTTCTTCTTCATAGTGAACCAGCAGAGAACTTGCTGGACCTTGCTGACCTTAGAAAAGTAAACTGAGGCACAGGACCAATAGATGCTTAGTGCAGATGAAACCTTGGGCACCTATACTTTCCAGTCTAAGTTAATTTTATGTTCTAGTCTAAGGCAAAGCCAGAAGGTAACAATTTGGCTAACAGTGAAATTTACTCTTTACCCAAAGGCGGGATCAACTATTGATAATACCATGTTCCACTCCTTGGTTCCAGCACAAATCTCTGTCCTCACCATCTCCTCTGCTTCCCCTACCTGTTTCTAGCCCACCAGGCCAAACTGCCTGGCTAATATTCAGCCATAGGGCTGACAAAATGATTTGGATTACCAGTGAACGCCAGCAAGCATTTCCCACCATCCTTATAACAAGTCCTAAATTAATAATATTTAAAAGAAGATTTAACACGTATACATGGATACTGGCAGAAATATTCTTACGTAGACACACACACACACACACACACACGCACACACACATCATTGTCTTGAATATTAGTGACAGCTTCTCTTTTTGCAATCACTTAGTGGCACAGCCTGCTAAGGAAGACAGTGGCACCCAGTGGACAAATATTTGATTGTTTGACACAGGTGTTCCATTTTGAAATATTCTCATATCTTAGCCTTAAGAAAGGTCAGTTGCCCCTCTTGCCTTTTCCTGTTCTTCTGCCATCACATTTTAAAAATATCTCCTGAATTTAAAAATAGAGGGGCAGGAGAATGTTCTTAAACTTTTTATCTTTTCAAGAATAAGACTAAGCTACAATACTGAAGAAAGCAAAAATTTCAGGATTAACTCCTCTGAGAATAGTGTCTTTATTTGATTAACCTTTTCAACTATAATAGAGACAGCCAAATCTAATAAAGTACTCAATTTAATTAAAAATGTAACATTCAAAAAAAAAAGTAACATTCAAAATGCCTATAATGTGCTTTTTTTTTTTTTTAACATATCATACCTTCCTTTTCTACAAACCATTACCAACTTCCAATTAAAATCACTTTGGTTAGGCAAATTTGGCAACTCCAAAAGCAATACTTCAGGAAAATAACATATACAGACCCTGCAATTTAGTGCTATTGTGCAATCTATCTAAAGCCATACAGATGGCTGTTTTCACTCACTAACTCTTCCAATGATTCTTTTGGTTGTGAGTTACTTGGGTAAAGAAGCCCTCCTTTTATGTCTTTCTTCTCCAAACACCTAACTAGCATCTTACTCATAATAGGTACAAAAAAGTTGAGTAAAATCCAGTTTCCATTTTACATATTTAATCTGCTAAATAATAAAAAAAAAGGGAGTTATTGTTTGATATTACAGATGACATCATCAAGCTAAGAATCTTCAGTATTAGGGGCTAACTGTATTGGATAAAAATATTTCAGGGGTGCCTGGGTTCGACATCTGCCTTTGGCTCATGTCATGATCTCAGGGTAGGATCAAGTCCCACATCGGACTCCTTGTTCAGCGGGGAGTCTGCTTCTCCCTCTCCCTCTGCATCCCCAACCCCACTTCTGTTCTTCTCTCTCAAACAACTAAAATCTGTAAAAATACATACTTTATAAAAAACAAAAGAGATGAGTGGTGAATGGGTGAATCAAATTTTACTGGTTTAAATGAGAAATCATGAAAAGACGTTCGATTGCAAAATCTTTTCAGTGCAACTAATAGGGACGGGGGTGCCCTGTTTCTGTTGGCCATTCAAGCTTTCTCCCAGGTTTGCAAGTTCTGGTTCATCAGCATAATCTTTATAATTCATAATTTTGCTATAGTTTGAGACTTGTTTTTGTTTGTTTTAGAAGAAAGACCCGTTGGTAAGCCAGGGTTAGGGCATGTGGCTAACAAAGAAATTTTTCCAAGTGGGTCTGGGCCTAGGGCAACACCCTTTGTTTCATTGACGTAAGTTTTTCATCAATCATACTTGGTCAGTAAACAATAAACATATCCCAAAGTAAAAGATGCACTTTTTTAGTAAATTGGAAAAAGAAATGGAGGCCATTTGCATGTGTCACCGCATTACATGTTAATTATATTTCTTTTTCTTGTAACAGGCACATCTCTCCTACTTTCCCCCCAAAAATTCTTATAAAACTCTTATGCAATCAGATTTTGCTAGACAGACCTTGTTATGAAAAGAAAACTTAAAATTGTTTTTCATAAATTTCTAATAATATACAACAAAAATATACCAATTCATGATAAATCAATAAACATTTGTAACATTTCTGTCCTTTTTCCTCCACGGTGATCACCAGAAGTGGATCACGAGACTCCAGGCAATTTTGCCCCCTGGGGCCAAGCCTCCCTGCTCTGGCAGAAGAGCAAGAGTGACATTCAGATTTGCGGTATGCACTGTGCTATTTGCAAAGCACAATACTGGGAAAACAGTCCAGACCCTGGTCTGAGCTTTGCTGATACCCATAGTCAGTGTCTCTGGGAGCAGAGCTCTGCTGTGGACGCAGGTCTCCACTAGAGTGTCCAACACTGCCCACTTTCAGGTTGGCCTCCACAGCTCCTGTAGGTTTTAAAAACCCAAGAGGGAAGCCAGTATTTGAAAAAACTTTATTTCCTCAAATAATTTGAGAAAATTTCTCTGGTGTGGTTACTGTAGGTTTTCTTACCTTTGGGCTTATCAGTGTATAATGCAAATACACTTCACTGATTCAGGAGAGCCACTGGCTTAAAGATGGCTTCCCTACCTCATGGGCTAGACTGAATGGAAATCAAAATAGAAATGTAAAAGGAATTTTAAAAGCTGGGAAGGTCCATAAAGATTAAAGTATTGTTATATCTAAAATGAAGGAAGTCCTGTGTGTGTGTGTGTGTGTGTGTGTGTGTGTGTGTATCAATAGGTGGAGAGGTCAAAACACAGATTGATTGATTGATTGATTTACCTTGAGTATAGTTGACACAAAATGTTACATTATTTTCAGATGTACAACATAGTGATTCACCATCTCTACAGGTTGTGCTATGCTCACTGCAAGGGTGGCTACCATCTGTCATCATACTGTACTATTACAGTATCACTGACTTTATTACCTATGCTGTGTTTTTTATTCCCATGACCTATTTGTTCCATAAATAGAAGCCTGTAGCTCCCCCTCCCCTTCACCCATTTTGCCCATCCCCTGACTCCCTTTTCTTCTGGGAACTGTCAGTTTGCTCTCTGTATTTATAGATCTGTTTCTGGTTTTTGTAAAACATGTATTTAGACTCACACTTGTTCTACGGAATGCTTGACGAATATATATTTCTAGTCTGAATGACAGGTATTACCTGTTCAGATAAGGATTTAGCCTTTTCTTCTGCTTCCTTCAGGCAAATCTCCAAGGCCTCAAGTTGAGCCAAAGTAAATGCCATCTGTCCAGTTTCCAGGGACTCTTTCTTTAAAACAATAATCAAGTATTACTTTTTGATATGGATAGCTTCCTGAATGTATCTTAAGCAACTTTATGGATTAAGGACAGTGTTAATAAACTCATACAAATCATCTTTTCTTCAACAGAGTAATAAAACAGTGAAATGTTATAAAAAACAATAGTCTTACTTAACAGTTTAATGTATAATGGGAGGGTAAAAAATGCATATTAAACTATGACAACGAATGACTTTGGAAAGTGAGACTAAAATTACCCACACTGGAATTTGGTTCATCTGCAGCTTTTTGTTCTTGATACAAACAGAACCTCGCTTCAAGAGGCCAAAACCAGAATTTCACATTCCTAGTGAGAGCTATCACCTAGAATGCCTTTATTTTTTAGCATTCACCTATCCTGAGGAACAGAACCATGTGAACATAGAGAAGCTGGTTTCCTCTGATCATCACTTCCTTATCACAAGTGTCATTAAAGCAAAGAAACCACAGGGCTTAGAATCAGATGATTCTGACCCGGAATATAGCTATGATGACTGGAATCAGCAAATGTAGAGAGACTTTGCCTCTCCAAGTTTTTCTGCAGTTGATCTTTCTCATTGCCAAGCAGAAGAGTATACATTGGTATGGAAGTATCAGTTACATGCCCTGCTGAGACTGGAGTACTTCCTGACGACTCCGGCTATCTTGACAATTAATTAGTAATTACACAGCAATGTGAAAACTTGAAAAGGGAGACCTCATAGTGCTAAGATTATGACCTTCCTCCAACCTTCTTGGGTGTGTCCTGTACTCTTGTGAATGCTCGGGCTCCTATAGTTGCTTCCAATTAACCCCATAAATGAAAGAACTGTGTTCATTCTTTTCTTTTCCTTTTTTCTTTTCTCTCCTTTTCTTTTCTTTTTTTTTTTCTTTTTCTTTCCTTTTTTGTTTTTGTTTTTGTTTTTTGTTTTTGGACTGCTGCTTTGTTTTCTTCCTTTGGTTTAGGAGCCCACCAATTTAAAATGCATTTTTACACATTTCCTAGTGGTATAGTAGAGCCATCTGGTGGTAAATGGAACCAGCCACAAAGATAAAGCATTCATTCAGGTCCTGTAGTTGTTTGTACAGTACTCGGAACCCTAGGGCCCTGCCATGGGCCTCTGAGAAATTCCATAGGATACAGAGCAAAGAAATGGTGCTACGTTCCAAAACAGCCTGGATCCTAAATCAAACAAGGCTGAATAATCCTCCCAACCCCGTCCCCCACACGGAGCAGACTTTGGGGGATGAACATCTTGGGCTACAACAATATTTGGAATAAATCAATGATCCTCAGCATACCATAATGATTCCAATACATTTCAAATTCAGTCCAGAAAAAATAAATCTCAAAAAATGAGCCTCAACACAAAACTCTTGTGTATTTACACCTATAGATAATTCATGCTACAAAACATTTTATGTAGAAAGGGGAAATGTCAAGAGGCCAAACTGTTCCAAAAAGGTTGGGAATTCTGGATCTAGTTGCTATTTCCAGGGAGAAAACTTATTGTCTAATGTTTGCTCTCAAGAGGAAGTTTCTTAAATCTTTTGTGAGTAGATCAAGCAAAATCAACTAGTCTGTTTCTCCAGACCGTTGTCTCCAAACATCCCAAATTTTGCTAGCCAAGAAGGACAATCATTTTCAGTAAGAGAGAAGCATTGTAAGCCAAACAGACTTGCCTGAAGAGTGCTAGTAAATACCGTAAGATTTTTTATACACGTGGTTTTAAGAAATTACCCTGCATTGTGGAATGGGAGAATCTGAGCAAACTGAAGAATGGGGTCTATCTTGGACACCTGTGCTCCAGCTATAAGCTATCACTCTCTACTCTCTGACTGGCCTTCCTATTCTCGCACTCTCTTAAGGGAAAGAGCCATAAAAAGCCATATATCTACACAGATATAATAGGCAAGCACTCTTTTTTTTTTTAAAGATATTTATTTATTTATTTGACAGACAAAGATCACAAGTAGGCAGAGAGGCAGGCAGAGAGAGAGCGGAGGAAGCAGGCTCCCTGCTGAGCAGAGAGCCTGATGCAGGGCTCTATCCCAGGACCCGGGATCATGACCTGAGCTGAAGGCAGAGGTTTAACCCACTGAGCCACCCAGGTGCCCCAGGCAAGCACTCTTTAATAGGAGGCAGCTCCCATTTACCAAACAAAGGAATAAAAATGAAACCAAGAATAGTTTCAGAAATAAGGCATACATGGGGTTCGAAGTTTAAGAGGTAGGTGTGTTGTTTCAAGGACCCTAAAGAAGTTAGGTGTAGTTAGTCACTGTCCTAGTTTTGCAGGATGGAAAGCCAGAAGAGCAGAAAATGGGACTTCTACCATCAAGTTCCTTCTGCCTCAAGTACATATGGACAGACCCCCACATAAAGCCACTTATGTTTATTATGAATATAAAACTGTTTTGGTAGTTAAAGTAACTGATGAGTGAATTATACTAATCAAAAGTCTTTTAAATGCTATCACATGTTGAAAATATATGATACACACAAGTGTTTGGGTTTTGATCCTGTCTGGATTTTTAGGTGGTAAATTCTAGCAATTCAATGGGAATTCCTGTTTTTAACTAATACTTTTTGTCTTAAAAACTTCTACCTAAATATCAAGCCAATCATCTAAGTACAGATAACTAAGATAACCAAGATGAGTGAACTCAAAGAATGCTACAAATTAAGAATTCAAATTAAACTCTTTGCCTCCAATGACAACATGAGAGTCTTATGCATATGTGTTAAAGTTCCTCATTTGAGGATCTGGAGAAAAATTTATTCTTTTTTTTCTGATTTTCATTGTCTTATGATGACCTTGCCCTTCTTCCTCAGCCATACACACTCTTTGTACTCTTAGGGACTGGTTCAAGGTCTCTGAACCAGATCCTCCCCTACCTCTCAATCCACGTGCAACACGGGTAGAAAAGGTCCTGCCTGCAGAAGCCAGACTGCACAGCACTGAGCATTAGTAGGATCCCAGTAAGTAGCTGTTGATGGATTGAAGGCTCAGCCATCAAAGACGGTGGTTGCACCAGGGGAGCACTCCGTCCTGCTGAGAGGCTTCTTTGAGCAATCCTTTCCATGTATCCAGCCTAGGATGCTGGCATGGGTAAGAGCCCTAGGGAAATTCTGCTCACCAAAGACCAGGTACAAGCTTAAGTAGCAGAAAGCCAGGAGGTGGCCATGAGTTGGGTGATAATGGCAGGGTTGTTCTGAAGACTGAGTAAGCTAAAGCAGGTAACTACTTAGAAATGCTCAGTTCATGGTATTACTAGTAATTCCATTCCCCCAACACCTATAAAGAGAATCATTTGATATGAAAACTTCCTAGCTTATTTTTAAACCCTAGTAAAAGAATGTCCCTATAGAGGCCCTTGTGTTACAGCAAGTGATCAAACAGCAGCAATGGGGAATTCAAGCATGCAATTAGAACAAAGTTAATGTGTTAAATATATGTGTGTGCATTTGTTTAAAAATACGATTGCTAAATAAAGGTGTGCTTATTGCCAAGAAAGTCTTCACAGAAGAGAATCTTGACATGGGTCAGTTGAAGACAATTGAATGTTTCCAGCAACCTGGAACTTCAAATGCGGAGGGATCCCCAGCAGCCCCACTCAGTGTTGCAGTCACTTCATGCCAGATAAAACATGCTTTCAACACATTTTGCAATGGTCGAGATTCACGCTTGATGTCTCTTCTATGCTTTCCCCCTGCTTGACTGGCACTGAAGGCTATAAACTTATTTACCTTACTATGACTCGCTCATATCTCTCATGCTGATGGAAGTTTTTCCCTAGCCTCCCCCCTCATCCCCTTACTCTGGACAGTTAATGTTATCCCTACCCACCCTGTTTGGTGATCAGAATTCATTTTACAGTGGAAATTTCATCACTGTCATGTCCTTTTATGCTTAACTTTTGCAACAGTATCTTGGGCTAAATTGCCTGTTTCTCTTTAGGAAACCATTTAAAAACTCAATTTTTTCCTGATTTCAATCCATTCTAATGGAAACAGTATTCCTCTTTGTTGGAATTGCCTAAATAGTCTGCTAATATGATATTTTTTATTCAAAATTGAACACATTACGACTCTTGTCAAAGTCCAGGGGAAAGAAGATTCTAGAAAGTGCCTATCAACATGCCTGTAGAGGAGATCAACGTTGGGAGGATGACAGATGAGCATTGACTAAGCATAATACTGCTTGTAATCTGGTAGGCCTTATTCTGAACTGGACTGCATCCCTTGGGCTGTGTGACTTCTGGGTTTCACTTCTTGGGGCCTCAGTTTTTCATCTTTAAATGAGGCATGTATGGGGCACATCTCAGCAGGAAACAGTCACTCCAGTGGAGTGGTTGAGGGGAGTTTAATGAAGGGACTGTATGCAAACCTGTGCGCACAGTTAAGGGCAGGAATGAAAGATGGCGGGGCACTCCCAAGAAGTGAAGGTAATCTTCGCTTCACCTTGAATTGGAGAGGTAGGGGAAGAGATAATGGCAGAGTATTAATACGGAATCTAGAAAGAGAGCTTGAGGAGAAGGCCATGTCTGTGAGTTGATACCCTGGATAGAGAAATAGAACCACTATGCACCTGTGCTCAGACCTAATGGTGGACAGACCAGTGGAATAAACAGCCTGATCTCCTTTTCTCTTACCATGTGTTCTTTTGTATCTCCCTTGTGCTGAGCCCAAAAAAGCCAGAAGGTGAGAGACCCTGAATGACAAGTCTAGAGAGACCAGCTAGCCTGGAAAGGAGCAGAGTAAGGAAAGGGTACAGAATGGACCTGGAAAGGGAAACAAAACCTCTGGCCAAAAGGGTTTAGTAATATGAGTGGTTCCCAAATGCTAGCCCATAGATCCATATTGGTTTGTGATAACATCTCCAAGCACAGCAAGGAAAAGACAGAAGTAAAAATTTTTAAAAAATATTATGAATTTTTCATGAAACCAAATTTATCCCATTTAGAGAACTGTCCTTTATTCTGAGATTAT